TCCATTCCCAGGCTGACAAGCTGACTACAGCTTCAGTTAGGGAGGAGTCTCCCAGGGTGATAATATGGTGAAAAACAGAGTGGAATTAATAACAAAGATTAACACCTGGTGTCTTTCCCGTGAGATACATCCTGAGGTGCTGTCCCAAGGATGTTTTTCCCAATTGTCCAATGAACTCCTGTCCTGTCCTAGCTGCACGTAACACACTTTAAATACGGGCTGTGCGTACAATAAATTGGCCTTTTTCCCCCAAAGAGCTCCGTGTGTGTTGCTGTCCTTTCTCTCTCTTTGCAGCACAGTAACCACACGTTTAATATTATTCAAAGGCCTAAGATATATTTATCACATTGCTATTTATATAAGCTATATGATGCATACAAAAGCTGACAGATCATACTACATCAAAAAGCAGTTTAAAGGGTTTACAAATTGTACTGTATGCAAATCATTATTATTAATAATAATTTGTAAAAGCTAATACATACATGCGAAAGCCGGTGTTTATATTGGCATTTATAACACCGGCAGTCGAGTTCTGAACACGCAGGAGCACAAAGATGTTCGTGGAGCACGGATGCAGAAATTCCAACATCCGCAGCCAAAGCTGTGAGGATGGAGCCACCCAGAGGTGCCTCTGGCACCCTGCTCGGCACAGCAGCAGCGGCTTTCCCCCTCTGCAGAGAGCACTCGCCCCTGCCGGCCACATTTCACAGCGAAGCTGGATTTGAAGCCCCTGAGGATGCTGCTCATGGGACCCCCTCCCCAAAAAGGCAGCACAAGCAGCCCCTCCCTCCCAGCACACAAGGAAAGGTATTTTTGGGGAAGCAGTGAGAACTTCCACCATTAACAGAGCAGCTTCTGGGACATTTAACTCGGGAGCTTCTAGCCAGGCCAGGGAAGGGATGAGCAAATTGCACAATGAGGGCAGAGTTCCATAGGGAATTCCTGTCCTGGCTGGTCTGGGGCACCCAGCACTGACTCCTGGAAAACAATCATTGGGAATTCCCACTGTTTAGAATCCCAGAATGGTTTGGGTTGGAAGGAACCTTAAAGATCATCCCATCCCCTGCCACGGGCAGGGACACCTTCCACTATCCCAGGCTGCTCCAACCTGGCCTTGGGCACTGCCAGGGATCCAGGGGCAGCCACAGCTGCTCTGGGCACCCTGTGCCAGGGCCTGACCACCCTGCCAGGGAACAATTCCTTCCCAATATCCCATTCAGCCCTGCCCTCTGGCAGTGGGAAGCCATTCCCCCTTGTCCTGCCACTACATGCCTTTGTTTAAACAAAGATAATTTCATTAAAAAAAAAGACAGAGAAAAAAAATCTTCACAGGATGAAACAGGTCAGATTCTCAAGGAAATTCCTGTCCTCCAGAGATCCTTTCCCAAAGGATATGGCCACCTTTTTTCTTGCTTAAGTGCAAAAAGAATCCCCAATTCTGTCCAGTTGAAAGAAATAGCTCGTATTTTGTGCATTATCTGAAACCTCTGCAAATCCACATCTGCTGGGAAGGGATGTCTTTTCCAAACCTAACTTTTCAAGAATAATATCCTTGACATAGTCTTTTCCAAACCTCTTCAGCCTTCTGTGTGCCCACAGCTATGCCTGGGCTAAGCTTTCCTGGATGCTCCAGGCTCTTCCTTGTGCTTGCAGCTGCTCCTCAGCTGAGGGAGAAATTAGGGGTTTTTGAATAAAAACCAAGGACAACTTGCTTTTATTTAATTAATTTATTTAGAAGCTTGAAACTTGCTTTTGTATTTCTTATAATGTATAAAAATCACAGCAAATCTCTTTATGCTGCTCTCCCCGAAAGGTGTGCAGGCACAGCCATCACAGCTGGGGGGGAGAAGCAGCTTTTGCCATTCAAATTCAACAAATGTGGCTAAACCTGCCTTTAGGGGAGGAAAAATTACTAAAAATGCTGAAACCTTTAGCATGGGATAGAACTACATCCTGTTCTGGGGAGCCTCACACATGCCACGGGCAACCAGTGCCCCCCAACCTCCAGCCCAGAGGGTTTGAGGGGCTCCCTCTCCTCATCTTCCCACTCTTCACTATCCCTCTACAAATACCAGCTGATTCCCTGAGTTATTCAATGGCTGTGGTGGGAAGAGCCCTCATCTTTGCAGGCAGACACGGTGAGCACATTGCAGAGGGGCACTGGAGGGGCATTCCCACCTTCCCTGGCACCTTCCCTGGCACCTTCCTCCTGCCAGCTCAGCCTTCTCTGGCCCTGTGGGAGAGCTGCACTCCCTCCTCCAGGAGGGAAACACCCCAGGGTTATGGCTTCAGGGCTCTGAAGGCTGGGAGATGTCCCAGGAGCCCTGTTAAACATTGCCAGTTTGTTCCGGGCAGGAACGGGAGGCACAGCCCTGGCATGGACCGAGAGAAGGGAGCCTGGCTGCCCTCCCCTGTCCCAAAGCCTGGCAGGGGTTTTGGGTCCCCATCCCTACTTCCCTCAAGCTTACAGTGCCAAGGGCTGCTGGAGCCCCATGGGCAGCGGGAGGTGCCAGCCCTGCAGGATGCAGGACAGCAGCAGCGGGACCAGGGCACCCAGAGCAGCGGCTCCATGGATTTTCCCTCCTATTCATTAACCCATATGGGGTTTATTTGCACCGAGGCTGCCTTGCGGCTCATTAGCGCTGTCCTAATGAGGCAGTTAATGCTTTCCAGGCTTTCTGGAGCATCCCCCGTCCCTGCTCCAGCTCCACCCTGCTTTGTGCCACACTTGTATCCGTGGGACAGCTCCCAGATCCCAGCGCAGGGCAGGACAGGAGGCTCTGGAGGGGAGCAGGAGTGGCTGTGGAATAGCTGAGCACAGCAGGAAGGAATGGCCAAAGACAGCACATCCCTTTTCCAGGGGCAGGGCTGCCCAACATGCCACTGTGACTCTGACAATCAGCAGCAGTACCAGGAGTAAATGATTTCCTTTCTCAGAGAGAGGCATCGAGGCACCGCTCCACTCCATCTTTTTCCATGTTCCAGGAGCTCGGTGCCAGTCAGTCCATCTGCAGCAGCTGGGGCACCTCATGTCCAGCTGCCAAGGCAGCAGCAGATTTAAACAGTGCTCCAAACAAAGGTGGTGTGTGTCTGAGAGACCCTGGAAAACCCTTCCCTCCTGGGAGGTGTTAGAGGCACAAATGGATTTCTATTGTGTTATTTCTGGAGAAAAATAAGGGTACAATAACAATAAACACCAGAAAAAAACTAATAAAAACAATAAAAAGACTGGAACTGAACCACAGTGGACAGAGACAGGCAGGGTTGCCACAGCAAAACACTGAGCAAGGAACAGAAATTCAACTTACCATTAAGCAGGGCAAGAGAAATCCCCAAGGAAGAGTTGCTGGTTCAAAAAAAATTAACTCTGAGCTGACTTCAAAACCACAGCACTACCAAGCTTTCCACACTTTCCCATCTTCCCCTCTTCACCTTCAGTTTGCTTTTAGAGAGCAAGAACGTCCCTGGCTCACATCTGACACCAATCAGTGCTGCTGAGGCTGCACAAACCCGGCTTGTGCTGCACAACTACACCAGGAGTGATTCCCAGTGGTGGAATCACAGGCACCAACCCACCCCAAGAGAGACCCCACTGCTGCCTTGGCAGTGGGCAGGGGGTGGTGGAAGTACCACTGGAGCAAAATGTGCCTTTTCTCCTCCCAAAAAATGGGGATTTTTTTTTTCCTGCCATACTGTGACAGGAGGGCAGCTCCCTAAAGCCTCAGGTTGCACATTGCTCATGTCCAGATTTGCAGGGTGGCTGAAACAAGAAACAATCCATGGTGTGCAGGACAAGCCAGAGGCTCCACACCAGGAAACTGTCCCTGAGACTGAAAACTCTGGTTTGTCCAACACCAGTGAGCCTGTGGGGCAGGCAGAAGGAATAGAAGAACAGTTTGAGGTTTGGGTACCCTTGCTCTGGGCTTTGCACAGTGACTGCAGGCTCAGTGCAGCCATGGGGGTACCCAGCTCACAGCCTCACCTTGGCTAAGCAGGGCTTTGCTCCAGCCCAGGCTACAGGGAGGCAGGGCTCAGAGGCAGGAATGGTGCCAGCCTGCCCTCCTGGCACAGCCCTGGCAGCTGGACAGCTCTCCCCTGGAGGAGGTGGATGGAGCTCATGCCTCAGTGCCCCTGCACAGCGCTCCTGACCCAACCCAGCCTGGAACCAGAGCTGCAAGCACATCCCAAATTCCACTTCACTGGCTTGCACAGTGTGTGTATTTACCACAGTCTCTCTTCTGCTTTTGAATAACAACACTCACCTCACCTGGAAGAAGGGGCAGAGTTACCATCACCGAAGGCTTTGGGAGGGCAAGAAAATATTTCTCCATTCCATGTTGCTACTTATACACATCCTCCTTCCTGCTGACTCCTACTCTTCCCCCCTGCAAATTTATATCCCCACTTTGTAAACATCCAACAAGCTGCCTCCTATGTGCCCACTTCCCTTTCCCCTCAGTGTGCAGTGGGACCACATGAAGCAGTTGGATTCTGAGCACCTCCACTCGCATTTAGCTGGAGCTTTGCTGCTTCTGTTTCCTACCCCACAGAAGGACAGTGGCCCCATGGCCTGGCTCCTCCCCACCTGTTTTGTGGTCTAGTAAAAGATAATAAAGAGAGATAAAAGGACATATAAGGGGGCTTATAAAAAGGGACAGAGACATTTTGTAAGGTCAGATAGTGACAGGAACAAGGGGAATGGCTTCCCACTGCCAGAGGACAGGGACAGATGGGATATTGGGAGGGAACTGTTCCCTGGGAGGGTGGTCAGGCCCTGGCACAGGGTGCCCAGAGCAGCTGTGGCTGTCCCTGGATCCCTGGCAGTGTCCAAGGCCAGGTTGGACAGGGCTTGGAGCAGCCTGGGGTAGTGCAAGGTGTCCCTGCCCCTGGCAGCAGTGACAGAATGGTCTGTAAGGTCCCTTCCAGCCCAAACAATTAGGGATTCTATGATTAGCTGTCCCTACTACAACCTTGCAAAAAGAAAAAAACCACCACAATGGAAGTACAATTATATTCTCTTTTCTCAGCTGCTAAAAGTGCAGCTCATCACGGGAACCTGACCATTACAAACTGTTAATCAGTCACTGTTTTTGAGCAAAAACATAGGATTTTCAACTATAACAAAACCGAGGATCCAGTTCATGTAGAAATCTGATCCTGTATCTCATGCTGGCTCTGTTTTTTAACACCTGGGCGACTACAGTCCCGTAACTATTTCCTGTCACCAAAGTATTCACTTTCTTTTATACCAGGCAAAACAGTGTCAGCAGTAAATACAAAAGGGTCTAATACAATGGGAGGAACAGGAATGAGACACTGAGGTATTGGGTGTATGAAATTGGAGGAATTTTGCTGTGGCTTTGAGCCACCTCCCCAACATTTAAATCACAGTGAGCACCCAACACAGCAGTGCAACAGTCATGGATAGACCACTGCAACATGAACCCAGGAAAAGCTGAACTTCAGCTCACAGCCTGGTCTGGGCTGCCAAAACCCATGGGCTTTACAGCTCTGAACCACAGGTGCTCTCCAAGCAGGGCATCAGCTCCAGCCCAGCAGGACAGGGGAGCAGGGATGCAGAGGGCAGCTGAGTGCAGGAGGATTGTGGCAGTGTTAGGTTTAGAGTTGAACTCTATGATACCAAATTTTTGCAACTTTAATGATTCTGTGACTTTGTATGTGGTTTGTGTTCTAGGACGAGATGCTGCAGAAAGGCTGGGAAAACTCCAAGGTGTCCAAAGCAGTCACGTGGCAACACTCAAACTCCTCCAACACCTCTGGTCTCCTCACAAAGCTCAGCATCCACCTGGGTTTACCACATCTGCTTCTCCAGCAGAAAGAGGATCAGCTTCAGAAACAGCCTGTAAGAAGCTGGCAAGGCTGGAGAACAGGAGGAAAGTTCATTTTAGAAGCTGTTTACTCCTAAGGAGGCCTTTGGCTCAGTCCACCTGCACGCCCTCAGGCAGCTGGACCACCACAGGGGCACAGTCATCAGGCTCTGCCTCGAAGTCCCACTTGAATTTCTTTGTCAGGTGAGCCTTGAACTTCTCAGCCTTTTTCCTCAGAGTCTCATCCACAGCAGAGCTGCACATGCAGGAGAACAACACCTGAAACAAAGAGCAGGAAGAGTTCAGCCATGGCACCAGCTGGGCATCTCCTCCCTACAGAGACCAGGGAGCACCAGGAGAGAGCCAGGCTAGGATCTACCACCCTGGGACTACTCCAGCTTTGGGGGAACCCAACCAAAGCCCACACCTCTCACTTCACAGCCCAAACCCATCCTGCCCTCACACCACTGAGTCAGCATCAGAAATACCTGCACTCAGGTAAGAACTGTCTGAAACAGGAGTATGTTTGTAACTGAATTTGTACTGTGGAATTCTGAAATATGCCAACATGTGAGCAAAGGAAAACATCTTGACAGAAGGAATTTAAAAAAAAACCAAACAACCAACCCTCAAATACTACTAGGCAAATTTCCAGCAAATGTCCAAAAGGCCAGTAGATAACTGCACTCCTTGTTTCCATGGGTAGAGATCTCCCCAAGTATTTTTGTAATATGGCATTATCAAGACTTTAGGATGCAGAGGAAACTTAACGAAAATACCTTGAATGTCAGAGAAGAATGGGGGCTCTCTGGAAAAAGCCTGGTTATGCCCAGCACAGCCACCCCCTTGTGCACAGGGTGCTGAAGTCTGGAGGAACCTCTGTCTCCCACCCCCAAACACAAACCTATTAAGGTGTCACGAATTCCCAGCCCGTGCTGCCACCTCAGAGGGAAAGCATCTGTGTGTTATTAACAGGGCACTGAGCCCCAGAGCCCAGCTCCCATCAGCCTGGCTCTGCTCCTCCTGAACTTGTGATCCACAACTAATTGCCATAAAAAGAAATCTCCTCTGGGGAAAATGCAGCCTCTTCTTTGGGGGAGACCTACTGAAAGCGGGGTAAAACACTGACAATGAGCAGCAAAGTTTGCTGCTTTGTGGATGAACATTTGCCTTTTCCTTGCTCATTCTACCAGAAAATTGCCTCTTTCTAACAGAACTCTTACACAGCAATGCTGCTGGTAGAGAAAAAAATGATTAGGAGATTGTACTTCCCACTTCTTCTCAATGAACTGCACATTAAATCAGTTATTTCACCAAGTTTTTTTTTTTTTCTTTAAGCACTGGTAGGGCTGCACAGTCACTGGTGGCTGTGCTGTGCTTTTCTTGCCTTGGATCAAACTCCACAAATGAAGTTGCTGCTTCCAGAGCTGAGCAAGAGCTGCACAGACAATGCCCTCCCCCACAGCTCCAAGCATCTGCCCACGGCCAGCTGAGGCAGAGAATTCTGATGTCTGAGTGTAAAGTGAGGGGTAAGGCAAGGCCCAGAGCTTCCCTAGCACCACTTCAGGGAAATCCCATGGGAGCAGAGAAATGGAGAACCCTGAGTGAGGAAGGGCTCAGTTTGCAAGGCTCTTCTTTGTCACTGGGAATGTGGTGACTCCTGCCAGGGCTTAAGGGTGATCCTTCAGTGACCTGGGGGTGACCAGCCCAGCTCCTGCTGAGGGAGTAAAATACAGACTGACAGAGCCCAGGGGTGGACAAGACTCAGGCAGCCAGAACCAGCAGTAAGTGTTTCCCAAATTCCCCATCAGGGGGAGGGAATGGCTGGCTGCCATATTATGGGTACTGCTGGGAACTGACAGCACTGCTCTGAGCGTGCTGCAAACACAGCTGGGCTGTCCAGTCCTGTAATAGGATGGACAAAATCTACTAACAGAAATAAAACATAAATTAAAACCCTCCTGAGACTTGTAAGAATCACAATTGAAAAAATCTGAAAGTCACTTGATTAAAGCAATCCTTCCCAAAATATTTTACCCAGCAATTAAAACCGAACAACTCCACCCTCCCTAAAACTACAGCAACACCTCGGGGCTAACAAGAAGAATGGAACTGCTCCCTGGGAAAGGAGAGGGCACCTGCAGCACAACTGCCCACAGCTTCCTACAGGGCTGGTTCCCATTGCTCAGCTTTATCAGTGTGGCTGATTTGGGATTTTTTTTTTTGTAAACTAAGCGAGTTTGCTGCACTGCTAGCACAGTCACCATCAGTGGAGTAACTGGTTTCACTGAGGATGACCAGTAGATTTGCCCCCACCTGTCTCAGCAGAAGCAGCATCTTTTGCATTTTGGAATAACCATAAATTCCCTCTGGATAAGATCCTGACTACAGGAAATCCTCAGCTGTGCTAAGGAATGGAAAAGCTTCTTAATCACTATCACTGCCCTTAGCTCAACCAGGTTTTGCTGCAGCTTCCCTGCATACTGAGCAAACCATTTAAAAAATCATCATCAGTCCTTCATGCCAAAGTTTTTTGTGTTGTCTTTTTAAGAATGAACAGCATTTTGGAAAAATTAAACAGATACCATTGTTGCACTAGCCCAGCCTCTCCTGTAGCTGCTGAGCTGAATTTCTAGCTGAATAACAGAGGGAAAAAGTAAATCTCTTTGTGCTTAGACAGGCTCCCATCTTCCATGCAGCTTAACTCCTTTGGCAGCTTCTCCCCACATTTGATGGATGGATGGATGCCCTCCCTCCCACTCGATTTCCCAGGGAACAACCACAAACACACCTGTAAGGTGCTGGTTAAAAAGTTGTCTTGGGAGACAATGTCCACAAAAAAATCTGCTGGGATTTCGTTGAGCTGATGGTACAGCACAGAAATGAGGTTGATGTAAAGGTCCTGGTACTTCCCTATGGCCTCCTCTGAGCGGCACAGGATGTTCAGGAGTCTTTTCCAGTGCTCAAAGGCATCGTACACATTCCCAATCAGGAAGCAGATGAAGGCAAATTGCAACTCAGCTGTGTGGGTTCAGAGAAGGGAAACAAAACAAAGCACATTAACACTAAACAGATATCCTGGGAATGTATCCTCCCCAAAGCTCTGAAAATGATTTCTAAACCCTGGTTTGGTTTTTGCAAAGTGCATTCATACCTCAAACACTGACCCGGTGCTGCTCTTCAGCTGGAGCAAAGCAAAGCACAGTGGGGCAGGTCACCTGTAATTGTGATTATGAGCACAGCAGAGGGACTTTACAGACAGCAAACAACACCAGACATCAAGCCAGACTCTGCTATTATTCTGAGAGTTCAGCCTGCCTGTGCTGAGTGTCCAGCAGCACATGGGACTGCAAACACCACTGTCCTGAAATTCTGGGAGAGGTCAGCAGTACATCAATCAGTGTGTTTGCCTTGCTTAATTAAGAGCCAGGGTTCATCACACTGGATGCTTGGCATCAACTGTTTTGCCACCATTCCCTAATGTAATTTATTCTCTCAACATCCTACAGTTGTCTTTAGTAATTCTGAAAACGAATAAATTCTATAAGGTTACTGTACAAAAAATGGAAAAAGGGACAAACAAAAGCTTATTCCAAGCCTGAGCTTCAGCTGGGAAGGCTTCTCCCTCCATCCTGCAACAAAACAAAACTCTGCTCCAGGACCTCCACAGACTCAGCATTTATTGGTATCACAAGTTGCAAACCAGGCTGGGGAGCAGCTGAGCTCCGGGAGCTCTGGTGTCCCTGCAGTAGGGCTGGCACAGACCTGACACTGTCACCGCCACTGTCACCTGCAGCACACGGAGCTGGGCCAGGGAGGGACAAACAGGAACAAGGGGCTGGGGGTGTCCATCCCCACCTGATGCTCCCAGGACTCTGTAAGACGTGTCCTCAAGAGCTTCACTGAACAGGTAAAGTGTCACACACCAGGGCCACCTGTTACCACTGCTTTTGACTTCATCTGGGGCAATCTGGGCTGAAGCACCATGTTCCCACACCAGAGAGTCATGGAACAGAATTACAGAATATCCTGAGTCGGGAGGGACCCACAAGGACCATCCAGCCCAACGCTGGCCCTGCACAGACACCCCACTCCTGGAGCTCTGGCAGCCTCGGGGCCGTGCCCCTTCCCTGGGGAGCCTGGGCAATGCCAGCACCCTCTGGGGAAGGGAAGAACCTTTTCCTAACACCCAACCTGAATTTCCCGTGACAGCTGCAGCCGTTCCCCCGGGTGCTCTCTCTGGTCCCACGGAAAGAGATCGCAGCTGCCTCTGGGGAGGAGCTGCAGCCCGCTCGGAGCTCGGCCTCAGTCTCCGCCAGGCAATGGGAACAGCCCCTACGGCTGCTAAAAACCCCACAAACTTCTGTCCTGCACTGAGGAGCCCCCTGGGCGCGCAGGGAAGCGGCCCGGTTTCCCCCAGAGCCGTGTCTTTGCCCAGAACTGCCATTTTCCCCAGAAATGCCATTCCCCTCGGGCGGTTGCTCACCGAGCAGGCCCAGCGGCCGGCCGGGGTAGCGCTGCTCCATCACCCGCTGCAGAGCGTAGCTCAGGTCCATGCTGTGCCGGGTGATCTCCTCGGGGCTGGCCCCGGCGGGGAAGGCCTGCCGGGGCAGCTCGGAGAAGCGGATCTGGGTGCCGGCCCGGGGCCGCATGCGGGGCAGCCGGGCCAGGCCCTCGGCGTAGCTGCGGCACTCGGCGTCCAGCGGCGGCCGGCGCTGCCCGGCGCGGTCCCGCGTGTGCCGCCCCGCCGCCTCGGGCAGCACCTCGGCGAACGCGCAGATCTGGCCGCTCTCGGGCTGCAGCTCCTCGGCCGCCGCCTCGCTGATGAAGTTACTCAGCGACACCCACTTCTTCAGCGTCTCGTAGGGGTAGGGCCCCAGGAAGGGGTCCAGCTCCCGCAGGCGGTCCCGCAGCGCCTCGCCCTGCTCGGGGGGCTCGGGCCGCACGGCCTCGCCCGCGGGGTCCCAGCGCAGCACCCGCACCTCTCGGCGCCGCAGGCTGAGGAAGCGGCCGGAGCGCGGCCCCGCGTCCCGCCCGCCGGCGCCGGCCGCGCTGCAGTGCACAAAGTGCAGCCCCGGCGGCACCATCTTCACGCCGCGGAACCGCGGCCCCACGGCCCACGCGCTGTAGTCGATGCCGAACTCGGTGCCCTCGGGCACGTCCAGCACCACCACGGTCGCGCCCTCGAAGAAGAGCTGCCGGGCCAGCTCGGGGTCCGGCCGAGGTCCCGCCATGGCAGAGCCGCAGCAGCAGCTCGGAACAGCCCTGCCCGGATATCCGGGCCGGCGGTTCCGGGCACGGCGGCGGGAGGAGCGTCCGGGCCCCGCCCGAGAGCGGCTGGAGCCGGGGCTGGGCTGGGCTGGGCTCGGCTCACCGGACTGGGCTCAGCGGGCTGCCGGGGCTGGGCTGCGGCGGCGCCCGAGGCACAGCGGGCGCTGCCCCGCGATCGTCCCCGCTCGATCCCGGCTGGGTCCCTGTTATCCCAGCCCATCCCCGGCCCGGTCCCCGTTCTCCTAGCCCATCCCCGGCCCGGTCCCCGTTCTCCTAGCCCATCCCCGGTTCGGTCCCCGTTCTCCCAGCCCATTCCCGGCTCTCAGCCCTGTGCTGCTCCCCTTTGCCTTTCCATGGCTGGCGGCTGCTCCCCGCTGGCCGATTGTCCCCAAAGCTGGTCCCCAGTCCCCCCAGCTGGCTGCCATTCCCCTGGGCCCTCTGTGCTCCCACCCCTGCAGCGGGACAGACGGACAAGAGCCGTGCCTGGGACTGATGGGACAGACACCGGGGACCCTCATTGTGGCACACAGATGGCACACAAACCCCCAGGCAGGACAGACACTGTCCCAGCACCACGTCCTCCCTCCAAGGACAGCAGAGTGGAGGTCCCCAGAGAGGGGCAGTTCCCATCACCTCCCTGCATCCTGAGCGTTCTCACAGCCACTTCCCTGCCCCGCTGTGTGTGCCAGGCTCAGCCCCTGCTACAGGAAGCCGCTCTCGGCTCCGCTGGCCGCAATTACCGACCTGGCAACATCTTCATTGCCCTTGGTGGGGTGAGATCCCACCTGCAGAGCTGCCTCCAGCTCTGGGGTCTGCAGCACTGCAGGGATGTGGAGCTGTTGGAACGAGTCCAGAGGTGGCCATGGAGATGCTCCAGGGCTGGAGCCTCTCTGCTCTGGGATGGGCTGGGAGAGTTGGGGGTGTTCACCTAGAGGAGAGAAGGCTTCAGGGAGAGCTCAGAGCCCCTTCCAGGGCCTAAAGGGGCTCCAGGAGAGCTGGGGAGGGACTGGGGACAAGAGCCTGGAATGCCAGGACAAGGGGAAACTGCCCACTGCCAGAGGGCAGGGTAAAAGGGATATTGGGAGGGAATTGTTCCCTGTGAGGATGCTGAGACCCTGGCACAGGTTGCCCAGAGAAGCTGTAGCTGCCCCTGGATCCCTGGAAGTGTCCAAGGCCAGGCTGGATGGGGCTTGGAGCATCCTGGTCTAGTGAAAGGTCTGTGTCAAGGGATGGAACAGAATGAGATTTATATTCCCTTCCAGCCCAAACCATTCTGGGATTCCATGATTTCTACAATCTTCTCTTTAGACAAAGCCTGGTATTTCCATGTGCAGTGCCCCCTGTTGCAAGGTTCCCCCTTCACTTCTCCATCCTCTCAGTAAGAAAGAGTCCACTGAGGCCCCAGGCTGATTTAGCATCAAACACATTTATTTCACTTTTATTGAATACAAGAACAGTGAGCACACACGCATACACCACCGAGCACTGAAAAGGAGTATGACCAAAGGGGGAGAGGGAGAACAAGGGAAGAGAAAAGGAGAGTTAGTGAAGGAACAACAGAGCGTTGCAGTTGGTTGGTAAGGTGCTTCTCAAATAAAAATAAATATTTTTATTATTATTATTATTACTGTTACTGTTATTATTACTCATGCTATCGCAGGCCAGGTTCAAAATGAATTTGTGGGATTGGGTAAAAACAGGCACTCATGTCTCCCACCCCTTTCCACAGAAAAGGCCCCTGGAAGAAAACAAACAGTGGCCAGCTATCCGAAACAGAGCGCAGTGATGGGCAGGCTGGGGCTGAGCAGCAGAAAGCCACACCTCGCCAGAAGAACAAGCAGTGAGCGTTTTTTCTTTCCTTTTTTACCTTTTCTCTTTTTCATTTAAGAAAAAAAAAGTTTTGGACACTGCCACCCATGAAGGCGCTGCGGGAGCCAGAGGCTGCTCACTGCAAACGGAACTCACGGCAGCCCAAGCACACAGGGAGCCCAGGGGTGTAAGCTGCTCAATCCCACAGGAACCTTCACCCCCCAGGCTGTGCACAACGCCCCAAGCAGCTCTGCAGGGCCACAGTAGCCTGGGGTGGGCTGTGGAGGTGCCCAGTCCAGGTGGGCTCCCCCAGCCCTGAACTGTGCCTTGTACTGGTAAATGCCAGCACAGCGGGCAGGCACTGGCCCTCCACCACCCCGGCAGTGCCACTGCTGGGCATGGCTGGCTTGGGTGCCTTGGGAAAACAAACGAGAGAAAAGGAGCCTCTTTGCAACTACCTAAACTGCTGTCAGGTTGGGGCTGTGCTCTCTGAAGGCATGTGGCTGGAAGCTGGGGATTGGCACTGGCAGCAGCCCCTGTGCTTTTGCCTTCCACGCCTGCAGGAGAAACGTCTCTGCCAGAGCAGATTCACTGATGAGCAATTGGTGAGCAACTGCCAGGGAGCAGCTCCCCCCTGGGACGGCAAGGGTGGAAGCAGGGTCTGCCCATGGCATCCTCATGGCTCAGGTGCTCCTGTTCGGGCATCCTGTGAGCCCTGGCAGGGCCTGGCAGAACACACCTGCTCCTGGGCACAGGCTGTGTCAAGGATGGGAGACTGAAGGCAAAATGGTGCAGAATCATGGGCCCTTCTGTTTCTGCAGGAGCTAGAGAAAATTCCCAGAAGGGAACCCATTTCTTTCCTTTCCTTTCTGGTTTTGGTTCCGAGCCTACCCGAACTACCTGGTTCACAGTGTATGGGGCCCTGGGCTTGGCCCACGATCCCCTTCCAAAGGCAGCCCTGGAGGGAGCCTGTGGCTGAAGGCTGAGCTGGGAGCAGCTCCACTGAGGCCTCCTGGGCTCTCCCATGCAGCCTGGGATGCTGGAGACACTCTGCAGGGATGGACACAGCACGGTGCCTCCACTGCCCATCCCTAGGCAGGTCGGGGGAGCACTGCCATGGCCCTGCCAGCGCCGTCCCCAGCCGTTTGCCGTCACACCCTGGGTAGTGGGGGAGGCAGGGCACAAACAGCCCCTCTGCCTTTGACCCCACTACAAAACTCAAGTACCTCCATTACTGGGATCCAGAAACAAAGCAAACCCACCCCACCCACAGGCACAGCTCTGCGGGCTACAAGGGAGCCCCGAGCCCTATGGCTCCCACCTCACTCCTAGCTGGTCCTGGGGCTCTGGGGGGATGGGAGCCCATCCTGCCTACGGCTGTTGGAGCTGGAGCCTTCTGTGCCCTCCAGGTGACCGCTGCCCCTCCAAACCTCACCACCAGCACATGCTGCAGATCAACCAGCAGCGCATTCCTGTCCCTGTCCCTCGCCCTCTCCCCTTCCCCCCAACCAGCAGCGGCCAAAACCTTCCCCGTTCCCTTCCTGCAGGACTCAAGAGTCCCACGTGTGATCTAAGAGTCTCCTAGTACACCAACCACAGTCAATCCAAGAGTTAATAATTTAAAGATGTCGGCATCATCTGTACTAGCACTGTTGAATTATTTCAGCCTTGTTCCCTCCCTCCCCCTCCGTTATATAGAATAATATACAGAACTGAAATGCACATCCATATGAAACCCCACAGGCTGCTCGTTAGAGATGAGAAACCATGTACATATCATTTGCTTTGTTTGAAATTAAACCCATTCCTAAATACCTTCAGAGAACAAGAGGTTGGACAAGTGCACAGAGAAGATAAGGAAGGGAAGGGGAAGAGTTAACAGAACTCCCAAAAAATGCAAAAAACCAGCATGGAATGAGGAGAAGGGCGAAACGACACTTGCGAATTGGAAAATAACTCTAAGGTCATAACTTGAATGTTTTTCTCTCTTCTTTCCAGAGGTGGGGAATGGTTTTGCTTCTGCTTGTGGTTTTTTACTTCAGTTTGCTTACTTGCTTTGTTGCAAAGCAGTTTTCCTTTCCATTCAGTGTGCAACAAATGAACTCATGATTGTGTGTCCTTTCATGTAACATGCAAGATGGTGGCTTATTGTATTGTTACCAAGATTATTGTAATTATTATGACTTTTTAAATCTGATTTGATCACCAATCCAGGAAATTCTTCAATTTATCTGCAGAAGGTTGGCTTTGTTTGTTGGTGGTATTGTTTGCTATTCGTTTCCAGCATATAGCAGCAGTGCAAGGATGCATTTTGTTTCCTGTTTATATATATATATATATGTATGTATGTATATATATATATAATATATTTGCTATTCCTTTTTTAAAAATTTTTGTCTCTTGCCATGAACATTTGCAGCCAGGATGTCTATGTCTTGCTGACAAATCCAGCATGAAGGCTCCTTCTTCCCTGTTCTCCAGGTTGGAATACAGATGTTGACTTCCAGGAACATGTTGGTCAAGACTCCTGTGCAAGGCAGATGGAAAGGACCAAGTCATGGAGTGCCAATCCCTGGAGGCTCCTCTTTGGATGAGGGCACTGGATAGAAACTTTGCAAACACTTGGGGCCACAGTTTGCATTTAATTAGCAGGAGCTCTGGTAATTAGCAGGAATTCAGCCACTGGGCTAGTGTTGGTGCATGAAGGACATGAGGGGGAGTTGCTGTTCGCTTACTTTAAGCCATTCAACTAAAACTGGGTGGATCCTATGGGATGCAGGAATGTCTGGACTTGTCTGTACTGTGGGACGGGACACAAGCTCCACAAGCCTCTCCTGACCTTCCCAGCTGCATTGCTGGTCGTTTTTCCAGGCTTAAAAGCTGCCAGTCAAAACCTTCATGTGATAAAGAAACAGAAAATCCCAGCTCTGAGGAGCCTCTCAAAATGCACCTGCAATTTGACTGCTGCCTGAGCCTCCAAAACTGTTCCCTCTCCTCTCCACCTCTCTCCACCTCCCCACTGCTCCCACACAGGGGTCTGATGGCTGTGCCAACCCAGAGGAGATGAAGCTCCTGCCTGACGGGGCAGAATGGGGTCAAACAGGGGCTTTGGGGTGGGGCAGGACTCCCTAAGCCCCACAGAAGTGTCTGGGAC